ATCCGACTCAGGTACCCTGGTACGTTTTTTTGTTCAAGGGCCCACATAATGTAGTTCCTTTGGCGGAATTGAAGGAATTCTTGATATCCAGTGTAGTTACCAAACAATACTTCTTTGTACTTTCCATCTGGTCCCTGCAATCGCATTCTTGGCTATGGTGACGACAATATTGATCGCGTCTAGTGTGGACCGCTCCCTCCGGAAGCCATACTGGTTGTTAGCCAGGAGAAGTTTTTTTTATAATATTATAGATTAATTGTCCACGGACTCTAGGTCCGTGCCCTAGTCATACAATTTTTTTATTATAATACATCTAGTCAATTTTTATAAAGTAAAGAGGGAACCTAGTTACACACTACAATTAAATACATCTATAATTATTACTAAAAGTATAAATTACATAATAATTAGGCACTATTTATTTATTTCTATTTCGAAGGCTCTATGAAATCAGCCCACCAACAAGATGGGAGAGCCGACCTGACGCAGCAGCACCCATTCACGAGTATGACGTGTGTGTCAGCAATTGGTTCGGTCAACCTTTTTATTGGGAACGGAACAACCCAACACACAGCCCCACCGACTGAAGGACATTTATGTGTGCATGACGCCTCAACCCTTGCCACGTTGACCGATTCCAATAAACCTTACAATAGCCCAAAGTCAATTGGTTATTTTCTATTTCTACATGTTTCTGCATACACATTTCCTCATGTTGCATTCGTTTTATCACAAGTAACATTCCCCGCCCAAGAGAGCACCCACGACTGCCGCGTCCCTGTGGTTTAAGGGCCATTTTCAGGTTGTAGTCCTTAATCCCTTGCTCACCCTCATCAGCCACCTTCCTAATTAGTTTGCTTATCGCGTCTTCACTGTTGTCTATGTAATAGATGCAACCATGCGTGTGACGCGATATTGCTACTACCGCGTGTGGTATGCTATCATGTATTTGATGTTTCTCGTTGCTTTCTTTTCTTTTTTCTTTTTTTCTGTGTTCACAACAACCACATTCGCACACGAAAGTCCCTGTGCCTCGTGTATCGTGAGCACTTGTGATCCCACGGTCAAGCCGTATCCCTGGTTCGGGATTCCTTCTCTGTTTGAGTGTGTACCAGGTATAAAGTATCGGGGAGTGACTTTGGAATCATCACCCCCGAGAACCTTTTTATCTCGAGGGTCTCACGAACGACCTGGACGAGTATATGCCATTGTAAACTGTGCTGAGGGCATACGCCACATCCATTGGATTTCTGTGGGTACACACCAATTCCTGGCTTATGGGTGTTATATATGTAGGGCGGCAGCAGAGGGAAGAGGTTATCACGATCTATAAATAGACGCTGATTTATGTCACCAATTAGAAGGACTTCCTTAGCTCGAGTTATTCGGGCGGCCATCACAACGGCTCCAAAGTGGTTCATGAGAGCCTCATCTACCATTCGTTGATGGCAGCTCTATCGCTCCCCCAAGCCGTTTACTAGGATGGACGCCATTGTTCGAACCCTAGATTTGACGAGTCCTCCGATTCGGCAGGATAGTTTGCCTCTGAGGTCATTTGCTGCTTCGGTTGTTGTGGTGACAATTAGATCTTTGTTCGCTTCAAATTGACCTACTATCCATGTCGTTTTTCCGCAACCAGAGACGCCATTTGTCCAGCGAAACCTCGGAGTACGCCAGTCCCCTAAAACTTCGCCGTCCGATCCAGATTCAGAAATGGATCTTGCCATCTCTAATATTCTATCGTCCAGCATAATTGTGGTGCATTTGGCAACCACTACTAGAGAATCCCCAGGAGAAGTTTTAAACTTTAACACTCCGCATCGATCGGGTTCCCTCTCGTCCAGGAGGAGGCAGGAGCCAGGAGAGGTTCGACTACCGATTCAATCCTTTGGTGGATTATCAGTTCCAGTACCTTGCCTGCAGTGTCTAGCATGCATAGCGGTCGATAGGGTGACGGTTCATCTGGTGGATTTTTTCCCTTGGGGAGTAATACCAGCCTCTGTATCTTTCACTTTTCAGGGAAGATCCCTTCCTTAAATTACGTCTCGTACACTTCCAGGAACATTGCTGGTGCTGCTTTGATAGCTGTTTTTAAGGCAATGTTTGGAATGCCATCCAGTCCTGGTTCTTTTTGGTTCCCTACTCGGTTACACGCTTCTATTAGCTCTTCTATCGTGACAGGTGAAATTTCCTCCAGTTTGCACAGTACTGTTGGGTACTTGGCCTCTTGCTGTTGAGGAAACAGCGTGGCACCGATTTTCTCTAAGAGTTGTGTGTATATCATGGAAAACAGTATCTGCATCACCTCCTAGGGTTCCATCGTCCAAATACCAAACATTAATTAGAAATCAGCTGGACGTGAGGCAACAAATTCTTCAAAGCTATTTTGTACTGCTTTTCAGGGCTTGAATTTATTTTCCCACCAACAAGTTATCCAAATTCTAAAAAAAGTAGTAGTCTGTAGGTCTGGTGAGTAGGGCGGATGACGGAGAGCTTCAGACCCCAGTTTTTGCAACTTGAAGACCGTCTGTCGTGCAGTATGAGGTCGCACATTATCGTGCAGGAGCAGCGGAGACGAGCGATTGACCAATGCTGGTTGGAGATGTGCCAGTTCTCCATCATTGCGTTCTGTTCTTCACAGTACAAATCTGCAATAATGCTCACCCCGTTTAAGAAGCAGTGATGAATCACACTGCTAGACCACCAAACAGTGACCATTACTTTTCTAGGGATAAGTTTTCGTTTAGGACATTGTTTAGGTGCTGAACAAGGATCCAACCAACTTGCTGAGCGCTTGCGGTTATCAAACAGAATTTTTCATCCCAATACGGTTCAAAATTTCATCATTTGTGTGTCTGTTGGCAGTGCAAGGCACGTCTCGACGCGTACTTCGCGCTGGCGATCATTGAGTTCGTGAGTCACCCATTTGTCAAGATTTTTCTTGTCCATTTGACGAAAATGGACCAATGGGGTAATGACACTAACGTCGAAAGCCGCTGCTAATTCTGTCGTAGGTTGTGTATCATCAGTTTCCACAATCGCCTTTAATTCGTCATTGTCGATCAAAGAGGTCGCCAGAACGGAAGCGAGCAAACCAATAACAGGTGGCGCGTTGGTTTGTAGTATAAGCTCCGTAAACATCGTTGATGTTTCATGCCGCTTGTGCCGCGTTGCTGCCACGACGATACTCATATTCCATAATTAATTAATCGAATTTTTAACGTATCCGAATGATGATGAATAAAATTGAAATGCGACGAAAATGGAACATTAATCAATAAACAAATGACTATTAGGTAACTATTGGAACAACTTTTGAAAAAAAAATACATGTTTGTTTATAAAATAATTAATATGTAGTTGTTATTTGTTAATTTGACATTAGAATTCTTAGCCAATTACTGCAGAACGGCGATTTCATGGGTAAATACATAATTATATATTCAGTACTTATAGTAGAGTAGGTTACCCTAACCTACCTCTCGCAACCCAGCCACCGCGAAGGACACACCGGGCGTCGGGGATCGCGGGACGATCTCCGGCCACCGTAAGCGCGGGCCTGCGGACGGCGAGCATGGGTGGCTCCCAGTCCGACCAGTGGGCTTACTCTTGAATCCAATTCCGATCGATCGACATTGGTATTGTGAAATTTCGTACTCTTGAGTTGCAACACTAGCGCCCATTGCATACGTATTGCGTGGATATTGAATGAACTAAATGGTATTGAGTTTGGCTCTAAACTCCGTACTCTGTAAGCTATTTTAACAGCTACGGTTGGGGTTGTATAATTTTGACATTGGATAATTATTGAGATTTTATTGGATTGAAATTGCATTGACATTGAGATTGGTTTCAAGAGTAAGCACCCAGGAACAGAGCCGAGCGTACGGCGCGTCGCGTTGCGCGCGCGCCTCAAAGACCACCACAGATGGGGCCCAATACGGCCAATGCCGATTCGGAGTCGCGGAGAACCTAACAGGTAACCGGGGTTCCGACTCGACGTGCAGGAGAAGGAACGGGGTGGTTTTTAGTCAGTAAGAGTCTGACACTCCCGCCTCACCCAGGCGGGAGCAGTAATTCGATGATTTTTCCCCCTTAAAAAAAAACCCTAACCTACCTTACACATGATGACATACCTAATAAATATTTTAATGCAGTTATCTTACAATAGGCAAAAGAAAACAAGTTAACCAACAAATTAAAAGGACAAAATTCTATTATCTTGTTATCAGCTAATTCAGCAATAAAACAATTCAATAAGTATTACTATAGCTAACATTTTTACGGTTAGAATTTAATTGCTCCATTTATCTATGCATAATAGATTTAGTAACGCTTCATTAACTTTCGGAAAAATGTTGTGCTAGAATAAAACAAGCACAAAATAGAATCAATATAATACTTTCCTAAGTAAGAAATGCCTATGCTATGATACAACAGTAAGTGCTTTGGGCATCGAGCCGAAGTTTATTTGGCACTGTTAATATTAATTTATGAGGTAGGTAGGTATTTACAAAATCAAAGCTGTAGCGACAATAGCCTTAGAGCTAGAGACTCCAGTAGGTACTGGAATTGACATTGAACTGAAAACTTTGTTAACACAAACATATTGTTGCAAACATGTGTACATAATATATATATTATGATTAAATGAATATGAATATTGAAAGTGGCGTTATTATGCACTAACTGCTCAAGTTTCGATCTAATCAATGTACTCTATAATAAACCTGAACTTTCTAGACTACGATGCGTCATGGGATGTCCAACCAGCAGTTGTCAAGCTAGGAGAAATAGAGCAAATATAAAGTTGCTTCGTGGTGAAAAATGTGTTTATCCTTTGTTTTTCTTTAAACATTATAAAGTTGATACCCTTTTGAATAACAGCATTACATTTAACTATTGTTGTGTGAATAGGTACCTACTTTTTAAAACGATTGTCAAATCAGTATAATACAGGCTTATACAGTTTTTGGCTTACTTATTTGAATTTTCTTTCTACGACATCGAAATTGTGTTATAATGAGATTAATTAATGTTAGTCTTCTTGTATTTTGCATTGTAATACATTTAGTTTACATGCACAGTAAGTAAATGCCTGCTTAATGTTAAGATTAAACTTAGATACCTCAGTAGTAGCATAGAGTTTTGAATTATGCCCGGTATTATGGCAATAGGCTCAATCCCTAATACATATGGGACTCATAACATAACTGGTGAAAAGTGGGATAAAACAACAACGGTTGTTTTATCTGCGCACTGCCTGCCGTTTAGGGGGTAAAAGGCTCGAAGGTATAAAAAATACCCACATAAAATAATGTAGGTATTCAGTTCTAAAAATACGTTTATATTTTAATACGTAACTAAAAGTGAACGTTGTGAAGGAGAACGTTATTACGTTCTCCTCGTTACCGGGGCTCCGACTCGAAGTGCAAGAGTAGTAATGAGGTGGTTTTTAGTCAGTTAGAGACTGACACTCCCTCCCGCGTGAGGACCCGAGCGGGAGAAGTCATTCGATGATTTTCTTCACTTGGTAGAAAGGGTATCTTTAACCTCTAGGCCAGTAATTGAAAGACTACAATAATATATAAATTGATTAAATACCTACCTATCTAATATTGCAGAGTCTACGTTCCAAGATGTTGGTCATTTAAGTAACGACGGTGACGGATACGGAACTAGATGGATCTATTTTCCAGACGGCGACGGTTACCCTCACTATGTCCATCTAACCAACGTTGAAGAAGAAACTCTCACCAATCGATTGTCAACTTATTCAGATATTTTATTTAGATTATATATTAAAGGGTATGTATAATGTCCCTGCTAAAAATGTACAGAACAAGAATTTGTGACACCACATGAGTAGCATGTTGCGACCATTCATGTAAAATAAGTAGGTACCTATCTGTTGAATTTGATTGCCTATCGTCAACGAACTGGATGGCCTTAAAGGAACCAATCGTGATGACCAGCCGATCTTCGTGACCAAGTCACAAGTCGCAGGTTTGAGACTAAGAGCTTCGTAGTAGCCGATATATTCGAATGTATTTATTATTTCGTATCACCCTAGAAATTATTAGTTTCTCCTCAACCGTGGGTTGGGCTAGGCTATAAAAAATAGTTGGGGGTGTCCTTACGGAGGGTTAAGATTTCTGACAAGAGAAAAGAATTTCCATAAAGTTAAAAGAAATAAGTATTTAATATCATCACTTTGCCAAATTTAATTTGTTTTTTTACTTTTGCGCCGCACTGGATTTTTCTCCAGTATCGTATCGTGTGAGTGCGTTTACAAATTACTTTAGTTTTTTTTTTAAGTTTCTGCCAACTTTAAACGCAAGCTTTACGTGGAAAGAAAAAAAGACTGCATGGTTGGCGCGGTGGTTGGGTAGCTGGCTGCCGCGCAACTTGTCGCGGTTTCGATTCTCACAAGAAACAACTCATTGTTGTGGTGTCATGTGTATGTGAACTTGTATGTTTTTAAATGCACCCGTGACACAGGTGAAAATCCTAGTGTTTTATTAATTTTTGTTTATGCGATCCTACCTTGTTTTGTAAGTTTCATAGTAGATACCTTAGATAATAAATGTGCCGAAATTATATTTTCAGTAATAAGTACCTATTACCTAACTTAGGTACCTACCAAAATGAGAGTTATATCTTACTGGATGGTGATGGACAACCAATTAACAAAAGTGATCGTATTACCACAGAAAGCATAATGTCTTCAAAAATGCCTTTAAAATTGTTAACCCATGGATGGCTATCATCAGTTGATAAGCCAGGGGTACCGGATTTAAAGAACGCTTATTTAGAAACTCGAAATGTTCATGTTATAACTGTCGACTGGAGCGCTACAGCAAGTTCTATATTTTATCCTTGGGTAGCAAATGAAACTAAGAATATTGGAGCTAGAATTGCATCATTTTTAGATGGTTTAAATAAGTGGTACAATGTGACTGGGGAACAAGTACATTTAATTGGTCATAGCCTTGGAGCTCACGTCATGGGCATCGCAGCATCTCAAACTAAAATGCGCGTGAACAGAATTACGGGTTGGTAACTTTTGTAATACCGGTACCTACAATCAGCACAGCTATTTGCTCTGCAGGTAAGAAAATAACGATTGATTCAGTACAAACACAGTAGCTAATACTACTAAACTAGCTTTTGCCAGCGGCTTCGCCCGCGTTCCAAGGGGTAAAAATGTAGCAAGTATCCTATGTATTACTCCAGACCATAATCTACGTCTGTCCCAAATTTCATCCCGGTCCCTTCAGCTGTTTTGATGTGACTGAGTAACAAACATACACATAAACATACAACCCACATATTTTCACATCTTATATCTTATTTTATACTATTATATAAAGCGGAAGAGTTTGTTTATTTGTTTGTTTGAACGCGCTAATCTCCGTAACTACAAGTTTGACTTGAATAATTCTTTTTGTGTTGGATAGCCCATTTATCGAGGATGGCTATAAAACATCACGCTACGACCAATAGGAGCTGAGCAGAGCGTGTAAAACCGCGCGGAAGTAGCTAGTTTATCAGTTCTTGTTAAGTAAAGTTCACTGCGGGCAACCTAACATTCGACAAACTTAGGTATATTTACGTTTGGTACCTACAGTAAATGAGTCTAGGGATCGTGCCGCACAGTTTTGTTTTGTATTTTTATTTCTTCGTATGTTTACTTTTTGAGATAAAAAGTACCCAGTGTGACGCCCAGAATATTAAAGTATAATCATGCCAAGTTTCACCGTTATCGGACCGGTAGTTTTTGCGTGATACGTGAACATACAGACATACAGCCAAACATTTTTTAAATCACATTTTTGAATTCTGTTACTACTATTTATTTTTTAAATATTTTCACGTGCAGAATTTACTTTTGTACAGTTTTATTAAATGTATAACAGATATAAATTTTTGGATTCGGTGTCTAAGTATCTACTAACACCCCCTACTATTTATTTTTTTAATATTTTCAATGTGCCTACAGAATTTACACTTGTACAGTTTTATTATATGTATAGATTACTTTACTTATATAGTTTTTAACCAAGCCACATCTTTTTTTTTCGTTTGTAACCATTAGTCGGGTCAGTCAGTTATTCTGTGGTTAAGTTGCCAACCAATGGTTACGTCTTTGTACTGAATCAATCTTTATTTTCTTACCTGTATAGTAGGTAAATAGCGTATAGCTATGCGGACTGTATCTACCAATTACCTACTATTTTACGATTCATAAATTGTATCTCTCGTTGAAAATATAATATTTCAGGACTCGATCCAGCCAGACCCTTTTTCGAGTTCCCATCCCATCTTAACGATTCAGAGAAATTAGATTCATCTGATGCGGATTTTGTTGATATTATACATACATGTGGAGGTTTGTTAGGTTTCCTATCACCTATTGGGACGGCGGATTTTTATCCAAATAATGGAGTCGCACCGCAACCTGGATGTGAAGATATTGTTAAGTTCTTTGGTAAGAGCATAAGTGCTGTTTTTCCGTTTAGATTTGCCCCTCTCATACCCATAAGTAGGTAAGTACCTACCTATGTACGGTCAAAGGTCAAAAGTGCCACCGTAAGACTACTATCGGTGTCGCTGCAGCGCTTATACACACATGCACACGCATATTTTTATGCGTTTGCGTTTGTATGCACTTAATATCAAATTACTTACGTATTGCCGTGTGAACATCACTCACGGTGGCAGTGGACTTTTGACTGTACTTGCAGATAGTTGGTACCTACAAGTTATGTTCTATGTTCACAAAATATCTAGAGCTTGTAAATCCAGCTATAAAAGTATATATAGGGTACCTAATTTCAAAATTGTGCATATCTATTTACAGATGGTTGTAGTCATGGCCGATCATTTTACTATTTCATGGAGTCGGTCAAATATCCCAAATCATTTCCGACATATCAATGTGAAAGTTGGAATGATTTTTTGACTAAGCAGTGTGATCATCGTGGATATATGGGTGAAGAAGTGAACAGAACTTTGAAAGGGAAGTATTATTTAATAACTAATTCATTTGAACCATTTGGAAAAGGTGTGTAAAAATCAAAGTAGATTGGTAATGTGAAAGCAGCACCTACTTACCTTATGTAAGATTTAATTATAGGTATATATAAAACTGACAGTATTAGCTAGGTTCGTAGTTTTATCATCATTGTTTTCTCTTCAGCCGTAACGTAAAAAATTCAAATTAGCAAGATTATATACGTCACTCATTTATAATTTATATAATGTATACATGTACATGTAAATGCGGTATACATGTCATTTAACGTTAATAAACATAACATAATTATAGCAATGGCATTTTTAATCATCGTGCTGCTATCCCATATAACTCTGTAAATTGTAATAAACGTATTATGTTTCACGGGCGGTTACTTTGATACCTACCTATTTTTCTACAAGACTTTTTTTAAGTTGATGGGGTGATAAGTGTTGCTTGGTGTTGCTATTGAAATTGAAATGTACTATTTTAATTACTTAAAAGCCGTATACCCAGAGTATAAGTTGAGTTTATTTCATACTGTAAACCATGGCTATAAACACAATGTCTTATCTATGGCACAGACATGAGTCTGTGCCTCACACAGACCTACTATAATATGGACCAGAAATACCTACAAAATACGCGTGCATACCTACTAGAAACCGAGGCCTAAAAATGGCTGCCATTGCTAGGGAAGCTGTAGTCAAAAAGTATCGATATCGATAGCCAAGTTTTATACATTAAGAATCTTCTGGTACTTTGGATGTTTTTTTAAGGTACAAATCATCGAACGACTTCTCGCGCTCTGGGTAGAGCGGGGGGCACGTCAGACTATTACTGGCTAAAACCATACCCAAATGTCCCCGTTTATCTCTCTCTACCGGTCTCCGGGCGGTGCATAGTCCACAAAATGGTGGCACCGGGGTGTTTCTTCCGCCTGAATCCGATACAGGAACTTAAGCGCTTGTGTGCTCGTAAAAATAAATGGTTTAAAAAAATACCAGTATGTGTTGTAATTGTTTATTGAAGAATAATACTGCAAAGTGTAATGAACAAATACGTGACGCTTTAAGTCCAGGTTTGATATTTTCCGTCCCAATGACTTCAAGCCACTTCTGATGCAGCACTTCATTTTTAGGGAATCTGTTGAAATAAAAAAAAAACATAAAAATTATTTCAGTTTTGTGCATTTAGTGGAACAAATTATAAAATGACAGCACCTACTGTATGGAGAATTAATATTATTGTTATGTACTATACTACTATCCCTATTTTTATTTCTATTCTGTAAGATTTATTTTCAAAATCGTCTCTTCAGACCCTTTATTTTGATACCTTACTCAACTGGACTCTATAACATACAAACTAAAAATATGTTAGTTTCTTATCGATATGTTATTAAATAAAATACATCACTAATGTATATCGTCATTTGGATTGTAGACAAAACAAAAAACAAATTTAGCAAATGAAGTTAGTTATCAGAAACAAATTGAATGTACTTTTGGGGGCTTTTATTCTATATATAAAACAAGGCTAGATAAACAAGAAAACTAATAGTATGATAAAGTTTTTCTTAAAATACGGCTACTAACCTGTACATAGTCAAATGAGGTTGATTGGGGTTTTTCCTTGCCTCACACTGAATTATTGAACAAGTAGACATATTGAATATGCACCACTCGACACTCACAGCACAAAACAATTTAGTTGGGAGCGTTTTTATAGTTAAAAATCGCAATCCAAATCCAATGTTGTTGTTCGCTTGACACCTGATGTACTACAAAACTATACGGCCTAAAGATGGCGGCTGGCACGCGAGGTAGGTACCTTGTCAGAAATGTAGAAATGTTGCCAGGCAGAGAATAAACAAACAACATGATGTCTCTTTCTTCAAATGAGGTTACTCATTGATTAAAAAGAGACAAAGTGTGATTTCATATTTCTATATCGATTTGATATATATTTGTATAAGCAAATAAGCTATAGATCATTACGACGCATCTATATAATACTAAATCTATGGTGCCTCATGATTTCCCATACTTTGCTCGTGCATGATACATTTTACATAGATTAATTTATTACATTACTCAAAGTTATTCCTAAATAGATATCAATATATTCTGAAATTATGTATTCATAACATTAAAATCATCTCTCAGAGTGAAAAAATAAGATTACCCATCCATGCAATTTATCGTTGACGTTGATTGACTCAAATGTGATTGAGGTTTGAGGTTGACACTTGACAATGACAACTTGAATTGACATTTTCGAAATAATTAATGTATAAAGCATAGAATTAGAATAGACTGTAAATACCAAGTATTGTAATATCACAATATTAACTTAATAAAACAAAGTAAATTTAAAGATTCTTACGATGCTGTAGACACTATTCTGTTCTGTATATGTGGTAGGTTCTTTTTTACATTAAAATTTCGAATACATAAATTATAAACTCAACTTTAAAATGAACAGAAAACGGAATGTTAGTTTCATAAAGCCTGAAGACCCAGAATTTCTAAAAGTTTTGAAAAGACAAGCTGGGTATGATGACAAAAATCACAAGTTTGATGACTTGATGAATGCTGAAGGAGACTTTGCCGAAGACGACGATAGTGAGCAGCCTCAAGTAGTAGTACTTAAAGAGGGTGACTTGACAGCGGAGGAAGCAGAGGCAGAGAAGTTGAGAATAGATAAATTAGAATCTGAAACCAAGGCTGACTTAAATCAGAGAGTATTGTTTAAAGCTAAAGCAAAACCAACTGCAGACACAGCTAGTTCTAAAAGAAAGCAAGATAATAAAAGAAAAGAATCAAAAGGAAAGAAAAGTCGTCCTGTATTGTCATTTAATGATGAAGAGGAAGAAGATGAAGATAATGAGACATAACAGTTACCTAATTCGTATTACTTAGTAGATAGAATAACTTTGAAATAAAATATACCATTTTAATATAACTCCTTACTGTTTATTTTCAATACTTTTTGACAGGTATATATTTTTTCACAATTATATTTATGCCTGAAGAATGTAATGCAGATCTAAGTAAAACACAATATATTTTTTATTGTCTCTATGCCAGCAAACAGGAGGTTAAAAAAATTTATACCATATTCAAGAGCATTTAAGTGTGAAACATTTTTATCAGATTTATAAAAATTTCATGCAATAAATTACAGAAAACAATATTACATTATCTTGTATCATCACAACTTAGTCTCTTTTTTATTTTAGTTCTTGGGCCATTTGTGGCTACCACAGTATCATTTTTGTAATAAACTTGTGGAATTTCATTATCATTTTCATATTCTAATAGTTTGTGAAGTAAAAATCTTCTTTCGTCTTTTACAATTAATATGCTTTCTTGAACCTTTGCTACTTCATCACACAGTGCAGCATTTTCCTAAAAAGAAAGTTAAATGGTTGGTGTTAGTGAAATAATTACCTACTTTATCTGGAATCTGTACTAAAATTACAAAGTTGAAGAGATAGTTTGTTGGTTTAAATGGGGTTAGTTCCGAGGATTACCTCAGAACTGGTTGGAATTTAATAATAGTTTTGTTGGATACATCACATTTACATGACATCACACCTTTTATCCCCGAAGGGATAGGCAGAGGTGCACATTATGGCACTTAATGCCATTATGGCACTTAATGCCGCTGTACAATGTAACACCCACTTTTCACTATTAACCCTTGGTATGCCGGGAGCGTAGATATACGCGAGACACAATGTGTTATCTATTGTGTCTCATATGCCAGCAGACAAGAGGTTAATGTTATGAGTCCCATGTAATAGGGGGTGAGCAAAGTCCAGACTCCGTGCTATTGCTAAACTGAGAATTTTTTAAAATTCCAGTAATACTTTGCCAGACCCGGAAATTGAACCCGAGACACCTTGTCCAGCAGTTGCACTTGCAACCACTCGGACAATGAGGATGTGGATTGTTGGATAATCAATTTATTTAGGCTTATGTTCAGTAGTGGATGTCCTGTGGCTAATATGATAAAGATGATGAATCAATTTATCGAGAAGGTCTGCTCAATCCCCAAGCGGTCACAGGTAACTGCTCTCCACTAACTACATTATAGACCTTATTTCCGACTAGCTTTTACCCGCGGCTTTGTTCGCGTCACAAAAGAATAAAAAGTAGCCTGTGACATAATAATATACCAATATACACAGCGCCATCTATACCAATACTTTTGTTTTCCTTTGGGAATATCAAATTTTTTCCAGGATAAAAAGTACCCTATTATTTAATACGGACTTTTAACTTTACGTCTGCAAAAATTCAAAGCAATCGATTTAGTAGTTACGGTGTGATAGCGGAACAAACAAACAAACTCACTTTCAGATATTTTAACAGGTTAAACCATATATTAAGTATAATATGGATTATATTATCTGAATAAATAAATTGATTGATTGATTAAAACATCACACTGCTGTGTACAATAGTGCGTGGTAATTAAGGAAAACTATATGATATTTTAAGATACTTACTAAAATTAAACTTTTTATTCGCATTTTCATATATTTGTATTTTTTTCTATATCGCTTATTCTGCTTGTCACTATTAATTGCAGTATTCATCGTTGTCAGTTCTTTAATACACGTATCTTGTTCAATTTGATAATATTTGTAGTCACGCTCGCGTTTTTTCTAGATAGGTACCTATTAAATTCACAACAAATTAGAACCAAAATCATAAAGCTCAAGCAGCTCAACTCTCGGTTGGACCAAATAAATTTATCCAACCAAATTAATTGCAATTTTTGACAGTGACAGTTGGGGTTGCCAATTTTCTTTCACGAAAAAAAACGTAAGTCAGTTGATAAGATTTTATGACCAACTTAATTTTTATTATTTATTATATATACAACACTGATATGATAAGAGTATGGATAAGAAACAACTAGGAAAAAATCGTGCCTACATAAACTTCACTTGGTCACCCGTAATGGCGGATAGAACTAGGGATGTAACTTTTAAAACTGTAGAAATATCGATATTTTAGAATTGGTTTTAATTGACATATCAATAAAATATCATTATTTTATGATTCATCTGGATTTAATTTTTACGTAGCTGCTAAACATTACCAACATATTAGCGAAATATATTTAGTAGTTGCTGCGTGCACTGTCACTCCAGTCGATCGTGCCTATACATTCACATCATAACTTTCACGATACTTATGTATCGAAAATAATGAAAAGGATTTTCCATCAACTGGTCAATATTTATATACTTAAGGTTAAGTAATTTTTGAGGGTTGAAAAATAAAACGGTATCAAAGTATTCATAAAATCAAGATTTATAATATCCAATATCTTCGTATTTTTCGTAGTGTTTCCCTGTAATGTAATCTGCAAAACCATCTTTCGAGAAGACTCCAGAACTGGTTCCAAGTTCATTTCATGCACATATCTGGCTAGAGGCTGCAACATAAATAGTATAATTTAACTTACTTGATCCAATTGAACATAGATTTTTCTATAGATTCTATAGGTACTGTACTAAGCTCTGAACGAAAATGTTTGTACATTACAATGATAGTGATAGATAGCGGAGGAAAACAGAAACATATAGGTACAAGAACCCGGTTAGTTATGAACTTAATATAAATGTTAAATAAAATGTTAAGTTTGCACCTCTTCAAAAAATGCTTCCAAAACTAATATAACAAAACACATAATGAATCGTTTACATTATGATTTACCAATAGAGCTTGTAGCGATAGGGCCCCATCACGTAGATTTACTATTAATTTATTGTTCGGTTAAAACATTAATCTTCAAAATAAAGTTAACAAACAAAGATATGTTTCCTTCTAGTATCTATATTTCCCACATTAATTATTTCCAGCCAAGAACTTCTGCGTGGTTCAAGCACAAACTAAAAAGAAAATTTATAATATTATTAAAATTATCGGCAGAGTTCGACACATTCTAATAAATACTCTAAAAATACCCTAAAGTTATATTTCATTGGTTTGTTTCATTTGAATCCGTCGAGCGGCATTTGATAAAAAAATCAATTTTGACAAAAATGCATTTCCCATAACTTACTTGATCTAATTGAACATAGATTTTTCTATAGATTCTATAGATACTGTACCTACTTAATGTTTTTTGTATTTTGTCATTATGTCAAATTAATGCACTTTATCATTCAGAATTTAGTATAGTTCTTTGTTCTACTTTTGACGCATTTATTATGTACGATAAAATTATCGATACGGGAACAATCATGTACATCACTATTTTTTAATGAAAATTGTTTTAGACGTATTTCAACTAAAATTAATGAAAATAAGCACTGCATTAGTTAGAAAAGTATTGTATTTAGTCAATTTGCAGCAACCACACTTGAATAGTTTGAAAAACAGAGATATTTTAATGAAAAATAACAGTACTTACCGATGTAATGTTACACCTGCCGGTTTAGTAATATTTTTAGTGCTACATCCAATAACACTGCACCCGGGCATAGTTCTTCTCACTAACCAATAATTTCTTTGTTTACCACGCACAAAAACAACAGGAATTCTACAAATTTTCGTAACAAAATATTGTTGACCAATGCTTTGACAGCTGATGTACCACTGACATGCACTGATAACAGGGACTAAGATGGCCAATTCGGCACAACTAGGTTTTTCTGATGACGTCAAAAAATTATGGCCAGAATGACAATAATGTGTTGTCTCTTTCTGCATAAGCAAATAGACATAAGTAAAAAAGAAACAACAGTATGTTTATGAATTTACCGTCAAGATGGATCCTAAATTCTACCCGTAGACAATAGCCAGACATCTATGTTATATTTATAAATCTATGATATACAATTAATATTAACTATAACTAAATGAAAATATATACAACTTAAAATATAAATAACTATGAACTAAAATATTTACACCTTAAAAAAAGGTAATCATAAATAAATAAGTTGTAATAAGGCATCAAAAAAAAAATTTTCCTCATCATTATCGTGAGGTAGGGTGCCCAAAAGACTGGCAGCATTACCACGTTGAATGGCAATGCTTAACCTTTGTCCAAGGTAGAAGCCAGCCCTTCGATCACCTGAAGTGTCAACCATCCTCTTTACAATATCTTTGTAAAGAAGATGTGCACTTGGGCCCCACGGCCCTAAAGTTTCAACCCCAAACGTTGATAAGTGGTTGATAAGGTCCAAACTTCCAAAGATTTCTGCTAACTTTCTAGCTTTTATCCACGCATGATTTGTACACGGGAAAAAAGTAAAAAGGCAGACATTATGTTATGTTACTTAGAAAAGATTCAGGCGGCAGATAATACGAAAAATATGACGCTAGCTAAAAAGAGATTAATCTCTATAGACTTGTACTGTTTAATAGCTATAAAGAAATATCTTCAATATAATTGAACACATTGAGTCACTCCGGTGCGCTTTCATCCGCTCTACTCGACTCCTATTAGTCATAGAGTGATGTTTTATAACCTGTAAGTGTTCCTCATAAAGTGTGCGTTACCGCTTAATTTTCGTTTTTTCGTAACCACCTAAACTTGGTCGGGTTACCACGGTCATTCACTTCGTCACTTCGTAATGACTTTAATGGTATTATCTCATTAATTATCCAATGTACCTACTGAGCTGAAATTTTACTGATATATAACTGAACTAAACAACTAATTATTGACATAACATTCAGTTCATACATCCAATCCAGTGGCCAAATATCACCGCGCGCATCAAGACCGTGCTCGTGAACAACTCAATATCATCATAACTTGTTCAATACTTACAGAATACTGATGAAACTCACATACATTTGAAGGCACTTACAAACTTTAAAATAACGTTTAAAGTAGGTCTTTAGAGCTTTTATTGAGAGTGCTAGGACCAATTGAAGTGTTTTTCTATTTAATAAAATAACTTAAGTTACGTATTGTTTTGGTTTTTTTATTGCACAAAAAATTTAAACTAATTCCTAAGAAGCCATGTACAAAATATGATAAGGATCCGCTTAACCATTACAAAGATCTAGCAAAATCAAAAACGTTACCCCAGCAAAATCGCGCAACCGATGCAATAACTACGCAACCGATGCAATAACTACGCAACCGATGAAAGAACAAATATAAAACAAGGCACAACATTTACTTCATCTAGACAACTAATTTTATAGCTAGTAATTATTTAAATATTCCCATTAGAAAGAAAAAGGTCTGGCTGGGTAACGTTTCCCCAGCAGGAAATGTTTTTGTGAAATAATTAAAAAACTATAAGCGCAACAAATTTAAAAATGTGTGCAACTATTACAGACAACTAATGCCGCACAACTAATTATCTATAAGATTCAAATGACTATTTTCGACAACATCTGGCCTGGGTAACGCACACCCTCGATAAATGCGCTCTAACTCAAAAATAATTATTCAAATCGGACCAATAGTTTCAGAGATTAGCGCATTCAAACAAACTAACTCTTCAGCATTATAATACACTACTTCCGCGCGGTTTCACTAGCTCTGCTCGGCGCCTATTAGTCGTAGTGTGATATTTTACAGCCTAAAGCCTTCCTCGATAAATGGGCTATCCAACCCAGAAAGAATTTAAGAAATCAGACCAGTAGTTTCGGAGATTATCGCGTTCAAACAAACAAAAAACTCTTCGGCTTTATAATATTAGTGTAGATTACTAGCTACTCTCTCGCGATTTCACCCGCTTTGCTGGGCTCGAACTGATCGAAGCATGATATATTATAGTCTATATAATATATAGACTCATTAGCCTTCCTCGATATACAGACTATTCAACACAAAGAAATATTCAAATCGGAATAGTAGTTCAACTTCAACTTTATATATTTATACCTGCCTAATAAAAAAGCAGGTATAAGATAAAATTTGGGAGGGAAATAATAAGAGAAATGCTATATTTATATATTTATTTTATAATTCAAAAAGGAATCGCATATCGATTTAATCGACGATGACATACCTAGTTACAAATAATGTGTAACTTATTAACAGAATTCACAATAGGATGAACTAACAATGAAACATTTATTCTGCTTTGGCCTAAACAATTATTTGAGAGAACAAAGTTAATGTTCTAAGGTGGAACATACATATGTCAAAGAGTTAATTGCATTTATTTTAAAATTAGGGATTACACAAAGCATCAAGCTGGTATTTCTCCGAAGATGTAGGCAAAGACGTATTTTTTGTTAGTACATCTTCAAGATATTATCAGTATTGCCAGATTCAGGCTATCATCCTAATAATAGTACTAAGAATTTCGAAAAACAAAACAATAATTCTTTGTCGAAACTGGAGATCGAACCTGTCACCCCGGTTGGCAATCGAGACAGACCACCAACAAGGTTAATACTATTTTACATATATGGATCTCTAATAAATCCACAGACATAATTATTTTTATACATATAATTAATTAATCAATGTACATTTTCATTGAAACAGTTACATAACATTTATTGTAAATTCGAAACATTACCTATTGTAAACAGATTTCTATTGGCACTATCCATTTAAAGTTCAAGAAAGGACAACAATAGATTAAGTATTATGCCACAAATCAACATTTAAATTGAAAATATTTATGATTCCAATTTTAAAAATACCTAAACCTTATTAATGCTCAGCACAACATATCAATTTTCTCGGAATACACACTATTCAAGAATTTTCTATTTTATCTAGAAACTCCAATGTGTAAATATATACTAGGTAATTGGAAGCGAATAATTACTTAGGATATACCTTATACACGTAATTATTACATATAAAAGGTGATTTTGTATCAATTTGTATTGAGAGGATTTTTATCAATCTTATTACACTCACACAACTACATAATTATATGCTAGTTTATCAAGCTATGCGGTGGGTAAGCAAATAAAAATGTCAATGAATAAACTACTGAAAATAGTTAACATAATAAATGCTATCACTTAGCGTCTCCTTGTATGGATTTAAATGCAAAAGTAAAACTTATAAATTAAAACCTATATTAACGTGATGAAATCTTACTCATAAATTATTATGACACTGCATAGAATATTGTTTGTACAATACGATTTCAAATCAAATTACAATACGAAAATTTCATTTTCAGTTCATAATTTGGAAACCTATTAATTTTAGCATAATTATTATATTCATGTTTATAATAATATTTTGCAAACTGCAAGCACATATGTAGGTACCATAATTTTACTTATATTTATATAACGTTTATATTCTATAAATATATCTAATGAACAACCTCAACCTTTCGAGAGATAGACCATAAACTAACAAACTTGCAAATATTAAAATCTGTTTCGGTGCAAAATGTCGGATTACACAGATGACTAAGATTTTATTAATTAGATATTTTTGTTTTTCAACATTATTTTACCTTATTATTATGACGTAGAACACAAATTAAAACCATATATTTTTAAATATCTTAATATTTTTCTTTTGTATGAATGTTAAAATATATAAATACCTTCACAAATACCGTCAAATATTAAGGAAAACTGCATTACTGAAACATATACCTAAATAGAAAGATCAAAATGTTTTTCTTATTGTTACTATACAAATAGGTTTTTAAATTCTATGTAGGTACCATTATGGTGATAAAAGTATTTAACGAGACTGTTACCTACGAGTATACTTCACAGATGTTTCTATTCTTATTTATCTAAGCAAAACAATAACTTATTTTGAAATTTTAAGCGGTTGCGACCTCATGGCATTGCTTATTGATCAATAGGATGGCGTTTGGCTGCCTTCGCCGGTCAACCTCGCCTGGTGGTACGTAATGATGTAGCCGATAATTTAGCACGCCTACCTATGAGGACACTAAATCTCTATGCTTATAAGTATACTATGAAAAACAGTGCTCTCAAACAGCAAGTTTCTAAGCAATGTTCATGATAACCTATTGAAGAATTACACAGAAACAGTGTTATATCTTAATAGTTGCAATAATTTTATATTGTCATTGCTTAGCAATAAATCATAACAATTTTTATAAGTAACGATACTTATATACTGATACAAACATTGCAGTTTTTTCTTTACTTGGTTATACTACCAACTAAATTTCATTTGCTTTACCCCAGTATTAGTCAATGCAAAAAATGTTTTTATTGATGAAACAATATTGAATGATTATAATTCTATTTTTATAAATATAATATAGTCAACTCATAGAAGTTAAAATTATATTGACAGTATGTAATTGGGGTTCTCAGATCCTTTAACTCGTCGAGTACCGGTTTTGTAGACACAATTATAGAACAATAGGTTGCGGTCACCGGTGACCGCTTGGTGTTTGACAGTTTAAAGAATAAATATGTCACTTTTAATAAATTTTAAATGTATTTAACAATTGATTATTCATCATCAAATTGCCATTTAAATTTGCTTTTTATAAGCTATAATTATTATACTTCCTTATAACAGCACCCTACATCATTGATTGACAAGACATGGCATTATAGAAAATATCTAACTGCCCTATACCATTCATGAATTAGCAGATGAGTTTTTAATAGGATCGAAAGTTATATTATTTTTAATAAATGCATTCATATTTATTGGGTGATCTGCTCACTTTTAAACTTGAATCTAAAAATACATGATATCACCCATAATAATAATTAATATACCAACATTAACAATCTAATAGAAACACATAAACTACATAAAATACTTTGTATACATCACTCATTTAGGTACATCGGTACCAGTCTAAAAGAGAAGCGTATTTGGTTCCTAATCCAAAATATTACCAATGACTTCAACGTTCACGCCGAGCTCGTTTGGCGCGTGCTGTGGGTAAAGAGACGTTAGCGTCATCCACATCTCTTTTCTTAGTCGGCGCATGTGGCCGTTGTAGTTGACTTTGTGCTGTTAACTGTAACTGCAATGCATGAGTATTTAGACGTTCAGCTAAAAGTAAAGGTCTCAGCGCAGCCATCTTATGACTGTACAGTGTAACTCGCGGCCGACTGTTTACAGCAGCCGTTAGCTGTTCACGCACAGACATCTCTGTATTCTCCGCATTGTTATTCCATTTATCATTATCACCTTTATCAACATTTTCTGTACCTTTTGTTGACTCTGTATGTTCATCAGTATCAGTTTTGCATATAATGTGAACTTGGGCTCTTACTTCTGCATCAAATTTTGATATTGTGCTCACCAAAGGTTTTGCCCAACCAATATGAAGAATTGGTGTTTGACTACCTTCCTCCCATTTACAGATACCATCATAAAATCTAAAAAGATAATAAAATGACTGTATTTATTTATTTAGTAGCAAGTAAAAAGAACTCAGTGTTAGTAAGTTTACCAACCTGAGTAAAGAAGCAAAGCACTCTGGGTCCTTCAGGATGGACCTGGCAGAATGTCCAGAACTCTCAGCTTTCATTAGCTGAGGTATTAATTCATTTGCTATTTCAGAAAACTCCTTGTATATCTCTTCATCATCACGAGAGTAATTGTAGCTGTAAATAAGGATGGATTTTGTTAGTGTACACAAAGGTCTATTTATTATGTATGTGACAAATAAAACTGAAAGTGCACAAGAATTATGATAGTGATTGTTATATATAATGTTGATAATAAATTAATGCATGTGTTACTATTAATGAGTAATAAGAATTGTACTCAATTTTTCCTCTTACATTATTACTGTTACATGTTGGCTGAAAATTATTGGTTCTAGATTCAATACTAATTCTAGTATCAAACTGGATTTACATCTTTCTTAATCATAAAAAATATAAAACTCACTGTCGAATAACATCACCAGCACAGGCCCATGCGTTAAAAGCTTCTTTGTACATTTTATTGCGATGGTAATGGCCTCCTTGGAAAGTGTATGGATATACATGGCGATCGTCATAGTTCGTTCTTGATGATCGAATAGCTTGCGCATAAAGTGCAGCTGGGTCTGGTCTAGGTGTACCATCTGGACGCAAATTTTCCAGTTCATTATGTAAAGGTAATTCCTCAGACTCTGCAGAACAGTTGGCTATTCTCATGTATTCATCTAAATCTCCAAGATTGCCCAAAGCCATTGGGTAAGCATCTAAGTGACCTGTAAATTTAAGACTTTGTTTAATTTCCTAAATATTTTTAAACAGCTTTGTTCTGAGACATGCAGGTAAGTTTAAAATTTTGCAACTCTAATTGCCCTAACAGCAAGATATAACTTAGTAAAATTAATACTTTTTATTTTATTATTTTATATTTTACCATTGTCATATAATAACCACAGAAGCCTGTGCTGCATCTGAGCAATTTCATGGACATCAGTAGTTTGGGTTAATGTAGGGTTGATTGAAGAAACAAGAGCAGCAAGTTCCATTACTCTGGTACATATCACTGGTTTACCGGCCACATACAACCATGATCGAGCAGATACACCATCTCCCACTGATCTTCCACGTTTATCTTCATTGCCTTTGCCATGCCAAGTTACCTACACACGTAATTCTTATTATAAACATACATTATTCTTATCCTCATATTGCATATAGAGATGGAGGTAAGATAAAATTAGTACACATAAAACATATTTCAAATTTTAATAATTTTGTAATACAAACCTCAGCCGTTTCTGTGCCATCTTTCCCAAATACAACCCATGCATGATCCTCAGATAAGGCTAAGTGCACATCTTGTTTACCAAGAACTTGACATCCTGCAGTTACTGCAAATGCTACCCCGAAGCAGTCTAGTTTATTTCCTGTTAAAAAACTGTAAATGGACTGCAAATGTGCTCGGTCTTTATAGTAACTGCGAGTCAAAGAATTCCAAACTACATCGGCGACTCGTTTGACCAAGTCTCTTGTCGTATAGGTTCCATTTAGTAGTTTCACATCGACGCCTCCTCGCATAAGTGTCACAAAACGTTCGTGTAGTGATTTTACTTCTTCATATTCAACAGACGGAAATTTCATTTTTCCAACTTTGTTTGCCGCCAAATTCATTTCCTTGTCGCTGTTTTTTACATTGGTTAAATTATTTTCAACCGCTCCAACAATGATAGAAAACAAAGCCAAATCTGCCTCTTTCTCACTGCGTAGTTGTTCTTCAAACAGATCACATACTTTTTGTATGCTATCTATTGGAAAATAATGCTTGTATTCTTGCAACGCCATTATTCTGAAGGCAATGATTTACATATTTCACAAAAAAACAATAAGTATTATATTGTAAACCTTAAGGTTTTGCCGGTAAATTATTATTTTTCATTTGATGTGTATTTATTTGTATATATTTACTTTTTAATTATCGTCTTTGAAACTTAGGCTTTTAGACCATCCTTAGGCGTTTGTAGGAGCATTCACGCAGGATGATGCACAGAAAGTTTTACTAAGAAATGTATAATATTATTATCTGTGCCCATTTTCAGAGAGTTTTTTTATAAACATCAGCCATCAGCAAATAAGTATCTATGGATTATGTTGTTGATGTTGTTGACGTTTACACCATTGACGTACATCCATCATGCACGAAGCTGTATTTTGACTGCTTGAAATTATTATTTAGTTTTTTTTTCACAAGATGTGTATTGAATCATATACAGTTTTGTTATAGTGTATGAATCAACTGTCATGAATAATATTAATATAGATAAAACTATTCAACATGTTGAGAATATAGTCCAAAATAATCAATGTAGTGTCTGGTCAGTTATAAATTAAATCTTAATTATTTTGTATGTTCCCAAGGATACAGTGACGGAAATAATCGTGGATTATTATTCAGGTCTCTTTTTGAAAATAAAACATTTTATTTGATTTTTTTTTCTTGTTTGGTCCTTCAGTGCCAAGACAGATGGTCAGCGATTGAGATATTCCTGTGGACATACAGCATGTGATGACTGTGTGATTGATGTCATAGACTGTAGCATTTGCCTTACACCACCTAAGGTTTCCTCTCCGCAGCCCAGGCTTGATGATGTATTGACACAGCGAGTGAAGAATGCATCAACACTTTTAAGAGAATGTCAAAAGTCATTTAATACGGATGGTAAGATACTATGTCAGTGATTTGGCTTGCTTAATTCTATCTAAATTGTGTTATTAACAAGCGACTCCCGCACAGTTTCACGAACACAATCAGCGTTTAACCTTTTGTGAGTCTATTTGTGGATCTACATGAGACACAATGTATTTTCTATTGTGTCTCATATCAGTGCATTCAAAAGGTTAAACAAACTCTTCAGCTTTATGTATTAATATAATATATACAATATATAGATTATGGTTTATTTTTAGCATTCACACGTAAAAGAATATCAGAGCGGTTAAGAATTGAGAAAGAATTGTTCCCAGAATGCATTCAAGCTCCATTAAAATATGAGAATAAAAGAAAAAGCTCATTTAATTTGAGTAACAATAAAGAGAACAGGGTGTATTCATTTTTGCCTGGGGAAGCAATATTACATTTAGACAAAGATAACACAATGGAAAATTCTTTCAAATATGTCCAGCAGTGGCTCAATAAAAATGATAATGATTTTGTGAGGAAACCATTTAGAGATTTAAATGTTAACACACAACTGGATCATGACGTAAACCATTCCAGTAACCAATATAAGACACAAAATAAATTTGATAAAGTATTGTCAGTTTCTAAAACAAACAGAAAGAGAACTCATTATAAAACCACTGTAAGCCACAAATCTTTTATAAGTCCAAAAAGAAAATCTGTAATACATCAAGATTATACCAGCCCTAAGAAAATTAAAAAAGAACAAGCATCACCTTCAACAACTTTGAGGCATGAACCAAAACATGATAATGATGAAAGTGGTATATTTATGGATAATGATCCTATTGTAATAGATGATTCACAGGAAACAGCTATTGACAAAGATAGAAATGCATGGCTTGCTGTGCTTGAAGCCAATAAACATGAATCTACCTCAGTAGTACACTTAGATTGTAGTGATCCTCAAATTATCCCAAAAGAGATTGCAATAAGGTCTGAAGGGAAACAAAGTAGAAGAAATCAAAATGTACCTTTCTATAAAAAAAGTTATATTACAGAAACATGTACACTTTGTAATGCTGATAAAAAGACAACAGCACAAACAGAAGATGTAAAAATTACCATTGACAATGCTGATTTCACAACTACAATAAAAATTCTAAATAGTACTGATAATGGCTCTAAGCTGAAAGCAAAGAATTCGGTTTCAGTTCAAACTGATATTTTTGAAACTATCAATGGTAATGATTCTGCAGTAGCAAATTTGAATGACACAAATGACAAGATTGAAGATGTTGCACAAAAATCAGATATACAAAGTGAAGATTTATTTGGTGATGAAGAAAAACATAATGAAAATGATAAACCAAGTCATGATTATAAGTGCTTAGTAATTGCAGAATCTGATAGTGACATGGAATTAGAGAGAAGTGGGCCATTGCCAGTTAAAGTTGATGTCCATAGATCTTGTGATGAAATGTAAGTTACATTCTAACTCAATATCTAAAAGTTCCTTAAAAATGTTGGCTTACTTGTTTGTTATAGGTTCCTACTTAGGTCCTACTTAAAATTAAACAAAATATCTTTAATATTTTTGCGTTAAAATATTTTGTTGGTCTGTACAAAGGCTATTAGTTTGCTAAGAAATTTGTAGCCAAAACTAATGAAACATTAATTTTCAGGGATTATGGAATACTAAGGGAAATTGAAAACATTCAGGAGCATACCACCAGGTCAAGGCGTGGTCCACGAGGGCTCACACCCACTAGCACTGATTCTTCAGAGAAAGAAAATTTTAATCCCAACAGAATGAAAAAACAAACTAACAAAAAGAAAAAATATTCAAAAAAATTATGAATGATGGTTTTGTTTTTTATTTAAATTACGCAATTTTATTTTATCTTCCAATGTGAATCTATAAGTTAGTTGTAATGTATTTCAAAATGTAAGTTAAGTATTCATTATTTCTTAAGGAGATGTTTGTGCCTTGTTTGTTTAATGGCAATGATTTGAAAGTATAATTATATATTTTTATAAATATTTGTATTTGTTTTGTGTCCTTGAACTATACAATTTAATTTAGGGGTCTCCGTTTTATGGTAGTTGAACCATTGACTCGTACTTATTTCATTCAGTAAAGCAAAAAAGAATTATTTCTTATAACAACTTATCAAACCGTAATGAAAAGATTTTCATCATATTTTTGGAGATTGCTGAGGGAATTTTAAGAAAGATCAAAACAACATGTTCGGAGGTATCACTGTATTGTCAGATATTTCGCTATAAATTATTGGAGATGGAATCACCACCAGCCGCCGCCGCCGCCACCGCCGCCGGACTTCCAGCCACCGCCTCCACCACCGCTAGACCAGCCGCTGCTACCGCCGCCAAGTTTCCAGCCACCGCCTCCGCCTCCGCTGGACCAGCCGCTGCTGCCACCGCCGAGTTTCCAGCCGCCACCACCACCGCCGCTGGACCAGCCACCACCGCCAGACTTCCAGCCACCGCCGCCGCCGCCGCTGGACCAACCGCTGCTACCACCGCCTGTCCACAACAATATTATTTAAAATCGTAATCAGAACTAATGAATAAATGATTAAAATTATTTGAACTGAAAAATGCACTTAATCCAGGTTTAGTAAGACCTAAGTAAGTAAGTAGTGTAGGTATCTAGGTATATTCTAAATATTATATAATTAATTTTGTTTATGAAGCGGATGCTCGACAAGGATGACAAATAAATATAGGTAGAGAAGATGGCAAGATAATTATATCGATGTTGCAATATCGTTACTCAAGTCAATGCCTCCTTGAAGTAGCCTTGACTTGCGGTCAAATACTCGGACGGTAACTTTTATTAAAATAATAGTAATTCAAGATTGCGTAAATAAGTTACTATAGAATAGACAACGGAACATCTAATGTCCAGGCTAAATGCAGCGGTTGCGAAATTTGTAATGATGCCCGCTGAGCGAATGGATGACCCCAGCTATAGGCGATGTCTCGACCTCCAACTATCTACTAAGCGGTGGAAATACATATTAGGTAGACTACCTTCTACGCTACTGTGGGTACCACTAAACATGTTATGTATCTATAGGCATCAGCTACATCTACAAATTCGATTTTAGGACACCCACCTAGAATTTAATTAGATGTCTAGTTAGCTACCCGGTCAAATTATTTTCAAGTTTTGGAACTGCATTCCCTATTTAAGTAGGTACTTAAATTACAATGTAAATGGTACACTATAGATAGTTATAGTGTTTCATTTTCGTTTCGTTCTTCTTCTTTTGTTTTTCTTTGTCTAACCGGTGGTAAAAATAGAATAATAGAAGCGACTGATAACAGTTCAATTAAGTCTAGTTATTGGGGACATCTCACTTTGAATACGATCTAAGACCAAAGCAGGTACCATGCAGGTACATAAACACACATGTAAATGTAATGTAAACATGTAGGTCTATAGATGGGTGCCGCGTAGTGTTTAAGTTCATCGACATTTCGTGATTCCGTCGTTACGAGGTCAATAAAGCATCGACGATCATATTTGCAAAGTTGTACATTCCAAAGCGGACGTTAGGTACTTTTTTGAACTTTTGTCTGTACTGTTATATTCTTAATTTGGATGTTGATATGTATGGTGGTTGTCTTGTCTAATCTAATCTAATAATAAATAAAAGGAAATAAGTATCTTACCGTATCCACCTCCGTAGCCACCACCGAAGCCGCCACCACCTCCGTGACCACCGCCTCCGGAGCTTATGATCTTGATGATCTTAACTTCTGTTAATCAAAGATGAAATTATTAATATAACATTTTTTTAATACTTATATTATAATCATTAACACTTAGCTAAAACTACTCAGTAGGGACGGTGGGTAACGACGGTAGGTAAAACTATACAACTTCGGGAGACTGCTTAAAGGTATATAATTATAATTAATACTTAAATATATTCTCAAAGTAAAGTATTGGGGGAAATATAACTTACGGCCACCGCTGCCACCGCCGGACCAGCCGCCACCACCACCGCCGCTAGACCAGCCACCACCGCCTCCTCCGCTGGACCAGCCGCCACCACCACCTCCGAGTTTCCAGCCACCGCCGCCGCCGCCACTACCGTAGCCGCCGCCGTAGCCCCCGCCGCCGCCGCCAGACCAGCCGCCGCCGCCGCCGCCGCCTGACCAGCCGCCGCTACTGATGTAGCCGGCCTTCGCGACCACTGCCAATGCTAACAGACAGACAAACACCT